TTTGGGGCATCATATCGTGACCTAACTTACCTTGCAGGCTCCTGCCAGCGTTTTAGCCAGTTGCAACAATTCGCCATCAGGCTAAACATCGCAGTCCGGGTCCGAATGACTGAGTGGTGGTCCAGGTGGGCAGCGACACGCCACTATCCAGCCCTGCTCATCGACTCTTAACCTAAACTAGCTACATGGCGAACTAACCCATCAAAGTGTAAACGTTTAGCAGCTTTTAAATGCCTCACCCAACTTACGTCGGTGAATAATTTAGTCGTTACCGTGTGTTTTCGATAAATATTAGCCTGGAAAACATTATTTTCCAGAAGCTGAACATCCCGTTAAACGAGGCTAGCCAAAGCTAATGTAGTTAGCAATAACGGTATTTGTAGTATCGTTTAGTTTGTAGTGTCCGCAAATACGTGAGTCGTTTACCACTTACATCTGAGCCCTACTCACCAATAAAATGTGCTCGTTTGTAACCAAGAGCATAAATACTGAGTATTTTACTACTGAAATATTCGCTACTTAGCGTTAGCCGATTCCTAGCAGTCTGCTTTGTTTACGCCGTCTTTTCTGCTGCTAGGCTGCGGACGTGCCTTCGTCATCTTCCGTCATCAACAAATCAGCGCCAGCGCATATTCCGAGCCTGCGCACTCGTTACAATTGTGACCAATCAAATAACCTACTACAGCTATAATGCCGAGGAATAATAATAATTTGTTGTTATTTTTTTTAGTATTTAATTAGCTGGAAAAGTGTGTCCACAGTTCAAGCAACTTAAAGAAGTCCAGACGCTTTTCTTTGCAAGCTACTTTGACCACAGCTAGTACATTTAAATTAGGCCCATGAGTTACATTGCTCTGCAATAATACTACTTATTATTATTATTATTATTATTATTATTATTATTATTATTATTATTATTATTAATATTAATATTAATATTAATATAATTGCTCTGTGTTATGCTCTCTGAAGAAAATGAGAAAGAGAAGGGGATGGATGGAAAAACATTGGTGAATCAAAAAGCTCAGGGGGTTATAAGGAGGAGCTGAGGGCAGCTATGAAAAGTTCGAAGACTGGAAAAGCAGTTGGTCCTGGTGGCATACCTGTGGAGGTATGGAGACGTGTAGGAGGTGGGCAGTGGACTTTTTGACCAGATTGTTTAACACAGTCTTGGAAAGTGAGAGAATGCCTGAGGACTGGAGAAGAGGTATACTGGTACTGATTTTGATATGCAGAGCTGTACCACATACAGAGGGATAAAGCTGAGGAGCCAAACCATGAAGATATGAGAAGAGCTGCTGAAGCTAGGTTAAGAAGACAGGTGATGCGTATGAGGATGAGGTGAACCAATAGGTAACGAATAGAACAAATGTCTTGACCTCATTCATCAAAGTCCCTCCAATCAACCAGATTAAACATTTCTACATCAGCAAATATGTATTAAAAATTACATTTCACCATAAACACACAAGCTAAAAGGTGTGAAACAGCACAAAATTAATTAAGCAGTTTGTATTTGTCATGAAATATCAGATGTCTTCCTAATACTTCTTCTAATATCATCTTGCCTCCCTCTACTGGCTCCCTTTATTAGTTTTTTTGATATCATCCACTGTACCTGAGCTTTCCCCCCCAAAATTTTGTTTCATATCACCAGAATGGACTCTCTTGAGCTGAGTGAGAAAAGGAGACAAAGACAAACCAAGACACGGTGAGATGTATTTTTAAAGACAAATTATTTCCTATTGCTCCATCAGTTACCAATTCCCTTCATTCTGCCAAAGCACAAAGTTTATTAGATTTTTCCAGCTCGCCCGGGCTGAGTTAGCGGGCTGTTGTGCTGTTAGACTGAATGTCAAGTGTCTTTTAAGGAAAGATGGATTGCACTTTATTTATTCCGAGGCTGAGTTATTTGCCCCAGTTCATCTCGGCAAGTACTCGCTGGTGACTCTGCAGTCGGAGGAGTGAGACACAATGAGGAAAGCACGTCTTTTAGAAAGCCTGTCTGAAGAAACATCATCTCCCTCCCTCCCTCCCTCCATCCATCCCTCCCTCTCCTCCGAGACAACTTCAGCTTAATTTTTATGAGATGTGTCTGCTGCTCTCATAAAGCCACAGTAATCATTTTTATTTGTTTACTGGGATCCAGTGCAGCTCCAGACAAAGAGCTTTGCAATGGAAAAACCAGGCAGCGACTGGTGAAAATTTCAGTTAAAAAAAAAATCATTAATTCACAGAAATGTTTTATTAATTCATTCATTTTTACCATTGACCCGGTGTAAAAAACCCATTTCTTTAGTCAATAGTGGAAAAAAATGTCATTTAAAATGATTTAGCTGTTTATCTATTACTTAATTACTGTGGTGTAATATGAAGGACAGTGGTAATGGGGTAATTCTACATTCATAGGAAAAGCTGTAAAACTTGTGAAAATACACTTAACAGTTCATAATCTATGTCCTTCATATATTCCAAAGCATGTAGTGGGCCAGATTGGAGGCCCCCCACCTCTTCTGCACTTTGAATGAACCCAGTTTTTTATTCAAAGTAATATATTTGCAATAAAAGAAAAATTAAAAAGGAAGGCATAAAAATCTGGCATTCTTTTAATATAAGTTCCTTTCCCTGCCTGGTTTTAAATGTAAAAAATGTTTAATATATAAGATCTGTTTTGATTTTTTATGAATGCAAGATTGGGCTCAGATGAATCGGGTTTTAAACAATATGCTGTTCATTGCTGTAGGGTGACCAGATGTCTGGGACTGCAAAGCATTTTTATCCACCCTTCCCTCTTCCCACACACGGAGGCAATGTCCTGCAATTTGATTGGCTGTGGTTTACAATAGTGAACGCTGCCTAAGAAAAGTCTTACTTGAAGAGATGATCCATCCATGCATGTTTCCTGAAATCCAAATACAGGAGTACAACAGTTGTTGCAACAGATACTGAAGCAGAAAACATGAATTGTATACAGACAACACCAGCACCATAAAAAAACTTTACCTTCCATCTATGCTTATAGTAGTTTGGTGGGTTGCAAATGTATTTCATTTATGAATGATCAAAGTTTCTTCCTCTCAGCACATTATGCCCCACAGAGGTGTTATGTTTTAAAATGAACCTGATAATTTTTTTTCATGTTTTATATGGACAGAGATGGAAAGAGTACCTTCGGCTCATTGCATTTGAGTTGACCTAAACCTCCACTGACTGACTATCATTCATAAAACTTTTTAAACTTTCACTCAGTTTTCTAGAACTGAGTCTTAAGAATGCTAAAACAAAATAATATAAAATGTCAGTAAATAATTAATCTGACATGTTTTAAATAATTAAAATTGGCAATTAATCATTAATTATATATAAATGTATAAATAAATATATTAATTATGTAAATGTGTTTTTGATTAATTAAAATGAAAATATATAATTAAATAATTGCCTCAAAATATTGTTTTAAAAACTTAAAACGTATTAGTCTTTACACAAAACTATTTATTTCACTATTTAATTTATTATTTCCTGGTTCTTGTGCTTCAGTGCACCCCATGAAATAAAATAAACAATCATTGCAGCTTGTCAACAGTTGCTAACATCTGGTTACTCTGGCAGACTGATTTTGGAAAATGGATTGATCCAGTGGACATGGGGTTGGCAGGTTTCCCAGAATGCATTTGGAATAAAATCACATCAGCTGTTTCCTCCACCACTGCGAAAGTGCCCTCAAACTGTAAGTACAGTTTTGGAACATGATTTTTCTGTCACCAAATGCATTTTTTAGTTGTTTTTCTAAGGTAAAAATGTAATGGCATAATCTGAACGAAAATGAATATCTGGCTGGTTTATTGAGAGCCTGTTTGCAAAAATAATAAAAAAGTTTCATAGCTGTCAGGTCCTGTTAGCATAACAGACAGCTTCCCTCACCCTCTGTCAGCTGACCGGGTGATCAGAGCCCATGGTACCCCTTCCTGATCCTCGCCTCTCAGTGAAGGTTAAACACGGGTGATAGGTGATATCTAACAGGTTATGTTTGGTTTATTTTAGTTTTGTATTCGTTCCCAAGCAAATCAGTTAAGCTGAGATTATTGTTTAATTTCATAACTGTGTATTTTTAGTGAACCTTATAGGAATGCTCTCAGAATATATTGAATTGAATCATTTGCACGTCTTTATTTCCTGATGTGCACGGGTCATACTTTTTGTTGAGAACAGCTTGTTTTCAATTAAAACTAACATAAAAAAAATGTAATACATATAGGGAGGAAAGTGAGAGCATTTTCACTGGGAGCAGAACCATCTGGACCAGCATGTTGTTCATGCTGGTCATGGATATCCTGACGAGTGATGTCAAGCCTGCTCCAGAAATTATTCAATTGTTTGTTTCTTAATATTTATTCAACTGTATTCAAAACACCAGATGTCTGCTATAAGTTTTGGAAGTCTGGAGTTTAAAAAAAAGAAGAAGAAAGAGCTGTGTGTTTTTTCTTCAGGTAGCAGTGGGAGTTACTTGTATAATGTTTTTAAGACAGCTCAGGATGAACTAAGCAGTTGATTCATCTGTAATATTTAATTTGAAATAATGATGTACAGTTGTTTAACACCTTTTTCCAAATCAGTTCAGTGTTTATCCCCTTTCAAAATCATTTTATATCTTTTTATGCCTTTCCCAACTTTGATGGGTGAGTTTGACAAACAAAATTAATTTATGATGCACTGCAGCACAAGAACAATGAAAATAATAAACTAAATGTGAAATAATAAAATATGTATTTAAATAAAATCCACCCATCAATTATCTTCCACTTAAGATAATAAATGATACTTAATCCAAGATAATTAATGATACATCTTGTTAAATGTATAATGGTTTATTTGTTTCATTTGGATTTCAGTATAGTATAAAAGCCTTTTCTCTGCCTCCTTTCCCACGAGGCCCTTTTTTCTTTGGCACTTTAACGCCCTCTATTGTTTCCGCCATTCTTTAAATTGCTTCCCTATATGCGGCATCCTTTGTACTTCCTTAAACTGTCACGGTGGCCGATTTTTTAGAAAGGAATATCTACTTACTGCTCATTCAAGGTTGGTTTGCGCTTCTTTACAATAGTTTAGTTGAGAGCCAAGCAGAAAAACATGTCACTTCACAGCATGTGTTTTAAAACTGCACTTCCGGTAACGGTATTTTGTAACAGCTCGAGTGTGGTGTGGAGTGCAGGGGCTGGTGGGTGGTAGAGGGGAGTGTGGAGGTGTCACAAGAGCATAGATCAGTGACGCAGTTGGGGGTGCTGATGTTTGAGAGCCTCCACACCTTTCTTCTGGAGAGGTGTGCAGGTGTTGTAGGACAAATTTTTATAGTAATGTTTAATCTGTGCATGTAATGGTAATCTGCTGATTGTTTTCCTAATTAATGCATGTAAGGAGAGCAGATTACTAAAATAAAGTGTTACATAGATTTGACTTTCATTTTCTTTTATTTTGAAGGTCTGATCATTTTAAATTAGATAAAATTTCCACCTCTGGACAAGTGACTGATATAATACAGAGTAACAGTTAAAATTGGATAAATATATTTGCCAGTAATACTTGCTGCTCCCAGAGGTGTTTCTCCCTCTTTACACCACAGGTGTGTCTTTGGTCCTCTGTCCTCATGACTCGGGTCTTTGTGTACGGCACTCTGAAGAAGGGGCAGCCCAACAACTACCGCATGTTCGACAGCAACAATGGAAAGGCCGAGTACCTTGGCTTGGCATTCACCTCCCAGAAATACCCGTTAGTGATCACCACCAAGGACAACATCCCTTTCCTGCTCAACATCCCTGGCCAGGGTCACCGAGTGCACGGGGAGATCTACAAAGTGGATGACCAGATGCTGAAATTCCTGGACACTTTTGAAAGCGTCCCAACGTTGTACCAGCGGACGGTGGTCCAGCTGGAAGTGAAGGAGTGGGTGGGGAAGACGGAAGGAGAGGAGAAGGTGTCACCGGGGAGCATCACAGATGCGTTTGTGTACACCACCACGATGTACGAGCCAGAATGGCCCTCGCTGCCGTGCTATGAGAGCTACAACTCAGAGGGAGATCACGGGCTCAAATATAGGTGTAGAGAAGAGCGGGACTGATCTCATCATGCTGATGCAACTGACAAAGTTGCTTTTATTTTTGTAATTTATCTTATTGCTGTGCACCTAAAACAATGCCCTGTAAACCTTTGTCAAAAAAATGAAGCTGTAATGTCAGACCCTAACCCTAACCCTTTTTTTAAAAAAAACAAAACCTGTTAACAATGTGTAATTGTGTAGTGCTGACTACTTGCTGACAAATATCGTGAGCTAATAGAATTTTACATATATATTGTATGTAAAAAACAAAAAACAAACAAACAAAAAAAACCTGCATGTAGCTTCCAGGTCAAGCTAATGCACAAGTGCCTTGAACCTGCATTGTATGGCCAGCCTGTCCTTCCAAAAATGTGATTGCATAGAAGTCTGTGAGGAAATGACCCAGCTGCTTACTTGATTTATGACCTCACCAAAGAGTTTCCTTGTGTGGTCTCAATGCCATTAAATAAGACTATTATTTAATGGCATAGGTTAAGACAGGCTTAGAGCAGGCGTGTCAACCATGAGGCCCAGGAACCAGATTCAGCCCAGCAAAGGCTTCAAATTTAGCCGACTGGGTGGCTTTGGAAACTTTTACAGCTTTTCACACTGAGAAAGATCTCAGATTCCTTTTAATTCTTTTTGTTTACTACAATAAAAAAATGGACTTGTACTGTAAATATGCAAATAAACAAGTTTACACTGACAGAAAGGCGAGTTTTACTGGATCATTTAAATCAAAGCTGATTGTGATGTAAAATGAGTTTGACACTCCTGTCTTAGAGCATTTATATCACACGGATATGAACTCTGGTGTGTTTAATCATTACATTCCACTTGTCTTTGATTACCTCTGAAATAAAAATTAATTCCTGATTTCTTTTGTTTGATCTGTGCTGTGTTTGTTCCATCCAGGGGATAAGCTTTTACTCTGCGTTGTCATAAGCAGAATAAATATCCTGCAAACTACTTACAGGGATTTAGACATATGTATTTATCTTCTTTATTACAAGAGTCACATATTCATGATACAACCTCTCTAATCCAGCAGATGTCGCTAAAAGACAGGTTGTGTTTTTGTACCAGCAAACCAGCAAAGCAAGAGATGTGGCCCCTGAAGTCTGCTGAGGGGCCTCATCAACTCACTGGTTGCACTACTGATAGTCTCTACCAATGTTAGTGCACACAGATGCAGAAATAGAGATGAGGACTGAGGCCGATGAAGAAAGACAAAAACACAGAGATGAGCAGAAAGAAAAGACACAAGGGCAATGGTTCTTTGATCACAAAGAAGAAGTCAAAACAGTGGTAAGTAAGTGGGACACAAGCAGGCAGCTGGACTTCAAAGTCAGAGGTGGGAAGAAAAAAATCTAATCCCATTAGACCTGTTTAGACCTCTTCTTTTGACCACCAAATAGGTTGCTGTTTTTGCCTATAGTTTTTGAAGACTAAGTACATCACCTAAAGCCTTTTTGAGCGAACCCAATCTGCCGTTTAAAAGACAAGAAGTTGACGCGGGAAAAAGCAGAAGCTTCAGCCAAATAAGTGGTAGCCTCCAAAAGCTCCGCAGCCACTGACCACGAATACTCCATGGTGATTTCAACGTCGTCAGCCAAAAGAAAAACCCCATCTACATCCACCAAAGCACCGTTGTAAGGGAATTGTGTCCCAAAGTGTGGAGACCAACAACTCCATAGTAGAAGCCATTAACAAGCTAACAAACAAGATTGAAGCGGGTTGACCTTTACAAATAATAGTTCAGTTCACCGTGAGACACCATCGAGATGCTTTCTGGCAGCTGACCAAGGATTCCCAGGTGTGCAAGGAGCTAGGCATCTACATCAAGCAAGATTTCTGCAAACTAGACCAGGAGGCAGGAGCTGCAGTTTGGCCAAAATAGAGCAAGCCAGAGCTGAAGGGAAGAACATTTACTACAGAGAGCACGCCCGTTAAGTTTAAGTAGGCAGGTTCATATTACCTATTTGGTACGGTATTATAATGACTATACATAATGACTATATATATTATATTTTTTAGAGCTCTTTTGCATTTTGTGAATTCAATTTAAAGGATTTAGTGTTCCAGTCTCTTGTTTATTTTCCTTTTTATGTCATTTTTCACTTCTATTTTTAACTGTGTGTCTTTAAATAGTAGGGGCTTGAGAGATATTCTTAAAATAAAGTATTTTTGTTTTGTAAAAATGTAAATGCTAACTGTATATTGCTACAAGAAACACACTCTGTTGAGGCAGATGAAAAAATTGGTGTAATCTGTAGGGAGAAAAAATAATTCTTTGTCATGATACTAACAAATCTGCTGTATATTTGTTGAGTTTTGGTTCCTGTTGTTTCACTCTCTCACGTTTCTTGATGTCCACATTTGTGACTCCTGTGCTTCCTTTACTTTTACTGCAACTGCTTTATCCACGTGTGCTTTGTGTCTCCATGATATTTACTTCCTGTGTTGTTTCAAACCAACTAACTTTAACTATTTAAATTATATGAACATGAATGAATGAATATTAATTTGCATAAATGAGTTTGAATTTGTATCATAATTGATACATCTACCAATATTTTTGCTATTTATTGCTTAAAAAAATATTGTACAATTAATTTAGGTTTTTTTGGAGGATTCACACTAATGATGATGATGTAGAAGTCTCAAAAACTCAGAAAACCTCCATCCATCTATCCATCCATCAATCTTCTTCCGCTTATCCGGGGCCAGGTCGTGGGGCAGCAGCCCAAGCAGAGAAGCCAAGGCCTCCTTCTCGCCAGCCACCTCCTCCAGCTTGTCCGTGAAAACACCAAGGCGTTCCCAGGCCACCTGAGAGATATAATCTCTCCAGCGTATCCTGGGTCTGCCCCGGGGCCTCCTCCCGGTAGAAATGCCCAGAACACCTCGCCCATGAGGCGCCCAGGAGGCATCCTTGTGACATGGCCGAACCACCTCTGGCTCCTTTCGATGTGAAGGAGCAGCGGCTCTACTCTGAGTCCCTCCCGGATGGCTGAACTTCTTACCCTATCTCTAAGGGAGATGCCCATTTCCACCACTTGTATCCACAATCTCATTCTTTTGGTCATTACCCACAGCTCGTGACCACAGGTGAGGGTAGGAAACTCAGAAAACCTCTATTTATCAAATTTGATATATTTAAAAACGTCCATAATAACATAGAAACTCATAGGAAAGACAATTTGGGCCATTGGCTAATCTGTGTACTCAAAGTGGAAAATACATTTCTGTTTCTATGTAATGTTTATGGCTACAACAGTGTTGCTCAGAACGAACTCTTATTAACTGACATAACCAATCACCTAAAAGAACTATCTCACAAGTACTCCACAAACAATTTTATAGTGGGAGGAGATTTCAATATTGTCTGTGACGAGTGGCTTGATAGATCACTCTCTAAAATCCAGTCTCATCATATAAATTCATTTTTACACATCTTCTGTTTAGATTTTAACCTAATAGATCCTTGGAGATTAGTGAACCAACTTCATCAGCCCTTTTTATGGTTCAAGCTCGATCGCTCAGCTAAATCTCATTTTGATTTCTGGCTAATTTCAGAGCCTAGAGGCTGTATTTGTTGTACTTGTTACATTTGTTTAATTAACAATTAAAAAATAAATAAAATATTTTTTCCTTTGGCACTTTAGCGCCCTCTGTTGT